AGTTTCTGTATTCTTTTCCATCTGTGTCTCTCCCGTGATTTCTTATATGGTGTTTCCCTCTTCCATTAAGGGGTAAGCTCTCCAGATTTTATTAATGCCTTTTCAGTGTGGCGCATTAGCAGGATCTGCCTCTTGTCTACTCAATATCCCATTTTCATTAAACTTGCAGGAATATACTGTCTGAGATATTTCCTCCTGTGAAATAAGTCTTCTGTGCCAACTAATCAGTGGTTCAATCATTACTGTGGATCAGGACACATAAATGGACAAGAACAGAAAGCAGACTAAAGAAGCCTTACAGAGGCAATATTTATCAGTAGTGGGGCTGGTATTATACCTCATAAAGCATAGCCATTACAACTGTAGGGGAGGGATAAAGGGGAGAGAGAAGACATGACCTTTACCAGGAGAGAGAGGAAGACAAACCACAGTGCTGATACTGTAGCTGTCTGCACATTTGACACCATGACTGATTACAAAGAGGTTTCACAAAGATGGAGAACTGTCTCGACGGTGGCACAGCAAGGTTCTCAGAAGGTTTGGACATACTTTGGGACTACTTGCAAACATCATGGGAAGAATTGCTAATAATGAGAAGCTATTTTCATATGTAGTTGGTAGGTTGATATAATCCCGTTACCTGTGTAATCTTTTTTTTCCTGATGTATTCATAATCATCATTAACCATCACTTTTAGGAATATACTATGTTGTGATGCATCTCATCAGTTGATCATGCATTACTACTTTATAAATCATTTGTAAACAGAACTATTACTGGTAATCAACTAAAGGGAAAGAAAGGATGTTTTGCTCATTTAATTGTCTTAAGCCATTAGGGTCTTGCTGGATCAGAGAAGATAGGGTGTTCGGATGCATTGAGAGAATAGTTTAGGAAGCCCTTTCTTAGCTATCTCTGCACTCTTACTTGCTGTAATCCAGATGAGACCAAAGTGTGATGTGCTTTTCTGCTCTCTGCCCAGGAAATGACAGCTGCAACTCAACCCCAGATGTGGCTCCCATGAACACAGAATCAGAGTAGTGCTGATGCAGTCAGGCTTTATTTTCAGCTGGAAAGCGAGAGTACTTCTTAAACAGCTACATGCCTCAATGTGCATGTTTTTAATCCTTCTGAGGGTCCGCGGTTAGTGGGTAACCGGTCCAATGTACTCTGTGGACAAGAATGAAGCCTGATTACCTGATTGTTCTTGTCCTTTTTGATGCTCCGGAGGTGCAAGGATAGCCTCAGCTGGGAAGAGGAGACCAGGTGAAAGGATCTTCAGGGAGGCAGACTTTGTTCTCAGCTGAAAGATAATAAATACAGCTTGAGGCCAGTACCTGCTGCATTGCTTCTCTGTTTATAACCAGTCATTTAAGGACAGTTCTTACGCGGTACACTGGAGTTTCATATGGAGAGGCTGTAGTCACTTCTGTTTGGTAGGTTCATTCCTTAATTCAGATCACTAACGTAACCCCCTGATGAAGCATTCATTCAGGTGCACGCTAGTCTCAGGTGAGATAAAACACATTAAAGTCAGCTGTGAGTGGTAGTGGCCCCCTGTTTCTTGTTTCTTCTTTTTTCCAGTGAAGAGTTGTGCTCAAGTTCCTTGTTTTTGACCTAATACCTAATGTAGAGTACAGACCTGATCTCTGTTACCTATGTGCCAATACAAAAGATAACTGTTTCCTTTGCAACATTCAGAGATGGTGCAATTAAAATGGAGAAGTAGCTTTGAGTTTTCCTGTTAGAGCAAAACCAAATTCTTTAGACTATTGCAATCTTTGTTTACTCTTCCAGATCAGTTACCTTGCTCTCCTGTCCGGAAACTTGAATGTGTTATTAGAGTGCCCGCTTAGTGTGTCTAAAGCTATTGATGTTATAGTTACTGCACTTTACATTCAAGCATTACCTTATTATATAAGAACCTCCCTGAGTAAAATTAAATCTTTCAAAATCACTAGTCACTACTTAAAATAAAGATGTCTTTTCACTGCTTCAGCCACATCTTCTTTAAAAGGCAATTTAATGGTGCCTTATGGTATATACAGTTTACAAGACTAATCTGTCCCCAGTTACACAATAGAGCCTTTGATAAAGCAGCAAGTGTCTCATACTAGATTAAACTGAGTCCAGAGTGTTTCATCGGGCAACTTAATATACTGGATTGAAAGAGTTACTGTTTTTTAAGTGACTCTAAAAACTTAGGATTTAAGCAGCCATAAACAATGAAAGGGTTAACAGTGGGCACCAGCATCTGTTTTCTTGTCAAGGGTTCTGCTGTTTCCATTTTATTCTGAGACGTTTGCGGCTTTGGAGAGGGAGGAGGCATACACCCAAAACCATAAGGAGCAGATTCTGCTGTTGGTTGGTTCTACGATCTAAGATAATCCATTGATTTGAATAGATGTGTACCAGTTTACTTGAAGGACTTAATCTACAATCTTTAGCTATGTAAAAAAAATTAACACTATCCCAGCTGAAATCAGGACATAGTACCTTCCTCAGATTCTTTGTGCTAGGGCACTTTATGGCTGTTAAGGTTGACGTATTTAAGATGAAAATGGAAGCAACAGTACTCATTTATTGTTGGCATAGATGTGATGTCACTGTTGGAAAGTTAAAAAGCAGCAATTATAGCTGAAATCTGAAAGCTGTTTTATAATTTCACATGTGCAACACAACTCCTTAGTAGAGATTGTAGCCATGGCAGCAGTGGTTGCTGCACTCTGTGAATAACAACTGTGTAGTTACTGTCTCTTAGTAAAACAGAGGAATTTAATAGTGATTTTTGTTAAGTACAAAGTTTTTAAAACTCTCTTCAAAAGAAAAAAAAAGACTGCTTCTGTCTTTCCTATCTTCTATGCTATTAAACAAGACTAGAGATGAATAAAAAGATACTGGATATGGATGCAAGAAAAAAGACAAGACGATTGTTATTTTAAATCCTGACTGTTACATCATTTAGCTATGATGCGTCCTGCTTCTCCTATAGTGTCCCAACCCCTTTTATTGTGTAATCAAATCCTGGCTGAATATCTGAATATGAACACGAATTGGAAACAGAACAATACAATAATAAACTAACCTACCATCTTGGAAATTTTTATTCCTGCATTACATTTAATAATATAGTGTAATACATTTTGAACCTTTTACATTTTTAAACATCTGTGCTAGTCACGTTCTCACTCTGCACACTCATATTCATCTGAATAGAGTTCTCTCAGAGACTATCCTTTTTCATCTAGTGATTGCTTGTTTGAAGAAGATATGTAGGATTACACATGATCCACAGGTCCGCTTGCGTCTGTTTATCTGAATTCAGACTATAGTGTCAAAATCTTGGTGAATCACACTATTAGATATGTTTACTTATTGAAATGGCAAATAGTAGGCTGCTATTTTTTTTTTGTCTTAACTTTCAAGAAGAGCAAAACTGAACATCAAATGGTTTTGAGGCTTAAACTGAATGCCATATATTCCTGTAATTTACATACTTGTAAACTCACAAAGAACTATGCGTACACATTCCTCAAAACCAACAGCTAGAAGATAAATTGAAAATATATCTATACACAGAAAAAAATGAAGGGTCTAAAAGACAGAAGGAGAACGACAATTGAACTGAGGAACAGAGGTACAAGTTTTTGCGTTCCTACAGAATCGGAGTAGTAGTCCAGAAACACCATATACTTGCAGTCATTCCTCAGACTATTTGGAGCCATTTGGAAAGTCATCAGTAGAGCATAGTGAATGAATAGTAAGATAATCCTTAAAGAGCAGAATTACTTCCGTCTGAAAAATTAATATAGTTTTGTGACATTGTTTTATCTTCAGTCAATTCCAAATATGCAGAGCATTAGACAGAAAGGTCATCTCATTTCATGGGAGTATTTGCCACATTATAATTCGATTTCATCTGATTCAGAATAAAATCCCTTTATTTTTCAGTTCTCTATGAAAGAGAAAACCTGAGGTTTTTTGGTAAAAACTGATCTATAGGCTGCTGCAAGTTACAGTACTTGGATGCTTTTGTCCTTGACTTCGGGGAAGTTTGCCTGATTTGCTGCCCCAGATCTATAGATTTTTGGAAAGGCTAGTTACAATTACTGACTCAAGCTGTGATGTTCTAATGAGACAGAATAAAAGCGGTGTGTCTGAGAGGAGGCAGACTCCAAGGTTTGGGAAAGCTAGACTGCTCTCTTTTTTTTTATTTAAATCTGTAAACTCCTTTTGTCTTCTCTTTTAACTGAAGAGTAACTCTGTACAGAAATCCTGTGCAAGACTGATGCCAGTGTATGCAAGCATCTAGTATTTGCTGTACACACTTATGCATGTCCTTGAAGAGGTAAACTAAGTAGGAATGTCAAACTGCTAATAATGTGGAAAATACGGAAGATCTACTCAAGTTGTTTTAATGAGATTAGTTTCAAAACTAAGGCATTTTCAAGGTGGTATTTATACCACATGAAAATATGTTAGGGTTGTAAGTCTAGCAAGTGTCCAATAAGTAGGGAGAAAGGTGGCTCCACTCGTATCTCTTTGTGTACCTTGCTGAATCATGGCCAGTACCTCATCTGAATATTATCTCCAACACACCAGCCTTGTCTGACTATCACAAAAAAAGAGGTGAAGATGGAACAGTTGCAAATCTCAAATGCAGTTGTAGTGAGTGTTAGCACTGTGTTTCCTCAACATGCTACATATCATTTAAAAGTAAGAATTCTTTTTGTTGTTAGGCCTTGAAAGTAGCTTTTGACGTTAATTGGGAAACATGACTTTGAATTAGTTTTTGGGGGTTTTGATTTTGTCTTTTCAAAGAATAGCTGCTGTATTTATATTACAAGCAGTTTGGAACTCCACCTGTCTTTATTCTGTTTGTACAGAGTATAGTATGGTGAGAGCCTGATTCATCATAAAGCAACAGTAATTAAAATAAATAATAATATGTTCTGACATAGTTTTTGTTAATAGTCACGTATGTTGTTTTGTTCCCTTAGCTTTCTCTGTTAGAAGATGCGGGGTTTGGCGGTGTTCTTCTTTACGTTGATCCTTGTGACTTACCAAAGACTACAGATCTTGCTGATAAAGCTTTTATGGTTTCCTTGAACAGCGGAGGAGATCCATCAACGCCTGGTTATGCCAGTATTAGTAAGTACTGTTCAAGGCATATTCAGTTAATTGACATTTTAATTCTCTGTAGATTGTAAGTATGGGAGTTAAAATACTAAACTAAATCCTGCCTGAAATAGAAACCCTGAGTAAGGGAACACTGTGTAATGCAGCATGGCTCAAAGGATGGAATCCAATCTCAAAAGCACTTTACTCTAAACTCTTGGCACCAAGTCTGTACTCTAATTTATTTTGTTGCTTTTTGTATTTGTGTATTCACACACTGAACCATTATTCCTGCCTGCTTATTCTTATCCCATGAGAAAAAAAAAGCCGGGAAGTAGTAATTCAGTGGTTTCTGAGCAGGTTCCACAGGATCTGTCCCCACTGAAAGAAGTATTCTTCCCTTCATTCTGTCTTCCACTTTCATGGTATTGGTAATGGAAACTTCTGGTCAATGGGTGCAAGTGCAATGTAATCAGAAATTTATATTTGAAAATATTTAAGAAAAATTAATGTTTATAGTATCTTTGCGAAATTACCACTTGGATAGGATGTGTTCATTTAGCCTTGTCTCAGTTCTGCCTGGATAGACTTGGTTATCAATTATGCTTCTCTAAATATATGTATTTTCAAAGTATGGGAAATAAAGAATTGATTTTAAGGAATTACATAGTCTTTTAAAATTTTAAGGTTTTTTTTAAAGCAATGTTAACAATAAATAGAAGCAGCAGCATATTTGACTTGTATGCACTACTTAAATCTACATTCTGGCAGTTCAGTGTATGTGTGTTCTGCTTCTCTGCTGTCTTTTCAGCTTTACAACCTTTTTGATTATGTAACTCTTCGGAAATGTATTAAGCAGCAGTCAATGAGTTTGTGACAAGGCTTCATCAAGAATATTTGGTCCAGTTACCAGCTCAGACATCTAAAGTCTGACTTGAATTGGCACTAAATCAACTGAGGCAACGCTGAGATACTTCATGAGTAGCATGGCAGAAAATAGAAATATTTGCCTCGTTGTCAAAGAAGGGTGTTAGCTATTCACAGAATGAATGCCTTGACAGCTCAGTGGGAAAGAAATTGCACATTTTTTCAGTGTCTCAGTGTACCTGACCCAGTGCTCTTAAAAGTGCCCTGGGAGCTACAGAGGTAAATATAACACTCTTCAAGCTTTATTCTTGCTCATTTCATGGAGCTATTTGACAAACAGTTTGTTGCTTATCTGTCTGGCTGACTCCTTAATCTTTTATTTACCCTACATGAAAAGTAAAGCTAATTAAAACAGATACACCAACATGAAGATGCCACTTCAGTATCTAAACCTTATGCGTTGGTTTTCTGTCAGTGAATGATCTCATCGGCAGTGTGCATTCCAATCTCCAGTCTGGAAAAAAGAAGCTTAATTGTATGGAAAATGGTGATATCCTTATAAGTACATTGATGGATTCTACTAGAACCCTTAGTGTGACTTGTATGTGGTTTTAAATCTCTGAGCAACATTCATAAGCAGGAATAGGCTATCAGGTTCCTAAAATCATTTATATTTTGGTCATTGAATGCAATGATGAACTGGAAAGAGCTCAAAGGAACACTTGAGGAAACTCTTTTTTACAGTTCTATCACTGGAAGGTAGATCAGATGGAAGTAATTTCTGTGTTTCTGATGATGATTTTCTTCTCTGGAGACTGAATCAATTTGGTTAGAGGTAACTTATGCCTGGGACAAATACAAATATGTCTGGAGCGCAGACTTTTGCCTGAGGGATGCGCTTGCATATAAGGTAGTCAAACTGACTACATGTAGCATAAAAGTGCCAGGTACCAGGGTTGCCCCTATCACTTTGATTCACAGAGTATAACATGCACTACAAGAGATTTTATTGGAAGCTCCTGCTTAAGTTATTGGCATATCTTTGATACCATCTGCACTTCACACGTTGCCAAAAGAACTGTTACTACTACAATCTCTGGGACTGCTCTACCACCATTCTGCCTTTTACTAGGAAACTCCTAGTAAGATGAGTCATCCAAAGTTAGTCTTGTACTAGGTAAATAAAAGGTAGGAAACTTGTATTTTCATGCTGCTGCCTATGTTTCTCACGTTCTTTTAGCCTGAAAACAAATTTCTCTGTGGCATCAGAGTATTGGACTGCTTCAAGTTTTTTCCTAGAAAAAAAATCTTCAGGAAATGATAACATTTACAGACCTCTTCTCAAAGTTGACAACATTTTAAAATGGGGTTTATGTAATAGTTCAGAGAGAACTTTGGTGTTCTCATGAGGTTTTAGCTCAAATCTTCTGTTTCATGAAGATTAAATGCTGCGCTTCTGCATATGAATTATTTTAGAATGTACAGAAATAGCTTGAGGATTGGTTTGAGATGCCTGCTATCTATGAGTGGAATGATTTTTTTGATCTCTGTTTAATAAAGGGGAAAAAAGTAATGATGTGGAAAGGGAAGTCAACAGCACTTATGTAAAAGTTTCTGCAGCTTTGATAATTTAATTCTTCTGTTCTTAAGACTCTCCCAGTCCTATGTCATATCAGTCCTGAAACAATCATATGAGCCTTTCTGAGCATCAATTCTGTCTTCCCGATTTTGATTGCCAAAGACTAATATCCTCCATTTTTAGAAATCTTTGTTTCTTTCTTTAGAAATCTTTCTTTTCTATCTTCCTGCTTTTGAAATGACACAGAGCCAGTGGGTGGGACTCAAGGAATTAAACATACGGGATTAAGAAGCTTGAGAAGGAGATAAGAGACTTATATGGCAAAAATTATCCTGAAAATAAAGTGTAGAAGAACAGCATAAAACTTGAGTGACTTCCCCCATCTACTTTTTTTTTTCCATTTTGACTTTTTGAATGGTGCACTTCCTTTCACCTACCTTTGTATGGCAGAGACACGTTAGGTTTCTTCACTGCTGTGCTTCAGAGCCATTTTAAATCAAATTTGTTTCCACACAGGAAATGGCTCAGTAAACAAAAATATGGATAGAACCTATTTGTCAATCCTAGTATGTAAATAGAAAAGTGGCATTGTGATAAGCATTAAGAACCCTGCCCCTGAGATAAGGTACCTCATAATAGAATCCCTGTCTATGTGGTGGTGGAATAGAAATTATTTCGTGAAGAATTTAGACAGCATCATAAAAAATATTGTGAGCTTAAAAATGCTGAAATATAACAGCTGTAAAATACAATCTTATTCTGTCAGCTGGAGTTTCAAGTGTAATGTTCTAGAGAATAGTTACACAGAGGTTATAACAGTAAGGCAAAGTGGTATATTTGGAAGTAGTCCATGCTTCAGGTCATTGTGAACAGCTAGTCATGTGAGCCACAATACAGGGATTTGGGTGAAAAATCAGTAACACGGGGGAAATGCACAGTGTTCCTGAATTGTGAACAGTGAACATCATTCAGGCAGAGGAATGGACATTTAAGCATTCCTTAAACATTGCTAATAGGATTTGCTTTCAGAGGAAGGGACAAGGAAGACGAGGAATCGGTGAGGTGTTGATATGCTGCAGGCCACAGCTGAGCCAATCAACAAAGTTGGTGGTGCCTCTGAAAACATATTTAAGAAAGGACAAGAATGCAGGACAGGCAGGGGAGTGAAACTGAGCCTGGAAAAAGGCAGGGTGAAGGTGCTGTTTTAATTTTTTGGGGGTTGTTTCTCACTATCCAAGTCTGTTTTAATTGGCAATAGTTGACTCCGTAATGGTAACTGATAAGTGATCTCCCTGTCTTTATCTTGACCAGTGAGCTTTTCCATCTTGTCTTCTCCCCCTGTCCTGCTGAGTAGGGGGAGTGAGAGCACAGCTAAGTAGGTGTATGGAAGCTGGCCGAGGTTGTCCCACCACACTGTGTTCTCCATGTTTTGATAAATTACAGCGAAAGTTGAAGAACACGAAATATGCATCATAAAAAGCCCATGGCATTTACCTCTCTAGTCATGTGTCATTCTTTAACTGAGCTTAGCCAGTTCTTCTGCAGTGAACACAGGGAACTATTACTACTACTTGGAATATGGGTAAGTAAGTACATGCTGTGATAGAAATGTATGCCTACTTTATTTTTAGTCAGCTCTGTGATTCTGTATGTTTATGTGCTTCCTGCCTCTTATCTGAGTTTGTCCTTACTGTCCTTGGCTTCATGGTATTTTACTCCTCTGAAGCAACCAGCTGAGCAGAAGTTAACTAGAAAATAGAATGTTGTGTAACAGTTTTAACCATGGATATGCAACGTATGTTCTAAAATATTTTGTTATAAGTCATCGTGACTTTTTACAAGATGTCCTCGGTCCTGGTTTCTGTTGTTTTCAAGAACAAAACACAGTTACGGGGATAATTCTTCTGTGCTTGCCTTTGCAGCAGTGGAAATGATCCTGGGAATATTTTTTTACGTTTTTCCCAAAATTTGTGTTTAATTTCTGCTAATAACATCAGATAAATGAAATACAAAGATAATTTGGTGTAAAATGACAGTCTACATTCAGGCTTCTGGGGTTTTCTGTTTTGTTTTATTTTCCTTAAGGGCAGAGTGAAGCTGGGGAGAAAGAAAAGTTTACAGTGCCATATTTTAATTTGGGCTGTGTGTATATATGTTTACATATACTCTGATCATTTGATTTTTTTACTTACGACATAATTTTAGTGGTTGCCATAAAAAAACCCCACGCTTTATCATTAGCAACTACACTGCTCTATCTGATATAACGTGTTATTTTCTGTATGAAAAAAATCTGTGCTAATGCAATAGAGTGGTAAATCTTTAGAAAATACTGGCTTTTGAATAGTAAGCACAGTAAGTAGTAATTTCAGCAGATTTTCAATAATACCTCTAGCACTGAGGGTTCAAAAGGTATCTGAATCCATGATCTGCCTCTTCAGATTTTGGAGGATACAATAAAACAACTGAATTTGTATTTCAGTACCAAATTACATGCTCTGAGTTTTTGGGTGTTGTGGTTTTTAGTTTTTCCTCCTGTCTGGCTTTCAATTGGTGTTGCATGTATTTAGAACTGAGAAAATCAGTTGGACGTCAAGATATTTTAGTCTCACAGGTTTGAGTGTGTGGACCTCTGTATTGTGTATCAGATATCATTTTATCTTCTATTAAGCTGCCTATAATTTTATCTTGGGGGGAGGAACCAAATTTGAATTGAAAATGCAGTGATTTTATCAATTAGAGTATTAGAAGAAGAGGGGAGAAATTACTGCCAATGGTACTGCAATAGCTTGCTAGCAACGTTTGTATCATTTGACTCTTGCAAATGCTATACTGAACCATATGGTCAAAACTTTTCTCAATTTCAAACAGAAAATTGTAAAAAAATGACTTTAAAAGAGTAGTGGAATGTACAAGTGGTAAACACCAAATTATTTGAAAAACAAATAACTCCCTACAAGGACTCCCTACAGAACGTTTTCCAGAGAAGCCACTTGTCTCTTATCCAGCAAAAATAGCATTTTAAATGGTGTCCGGGTTAAATTTTTTAAGCTACTCAACTCGCAGGTTTAGCATATTTAAATCTTTTGTGCAATCATGTTTGAAAGTAATCCTGCCATAGCTTTACTGACATGATATTTCAGCTCAACATAACCTGTGTGAGTGAGCTAATTTATTATGTGCTCACAAAACAGCGAACATCATTGTATGGCAATAAGTCTAGCTGGTGGATAGGAATCTGCGACTACAAAAGCATGGGTGCCTGCAGAGTCTAGTTGAAATCAATTGTCTTTGCGTGGGCTGAGAATCCGGGATGGGGAGCTGCTTTTATAGCATCAGGGAGTTTTGTGAAGACTCTCTTGCACTCCCATATGCAACTCCT